AATGATCTACATTTAAGACAATTATTTGACAGTTTTTRAGAGTTCCAAGAACACTTGCAGTGAATTGGATTATATTGTAATTACTGAGTGATAGCAGAGTGAGATACAAGTTCTGACAGAACTGAAGATACGAGGCTCTGTCTCAGGACTGCAAGCCGCACAGGAGTCCTCAATCACTACTCTCTTTAGCCTTGCTTGTTCAGTACTCCAAGAAAATGTAGTGGCACTTCACTGACAACCACTAAAATGAGCTTTCGGCACTTGTGTAGAAGCATTATCAGCTTTCCAGCTTTTTTGCTGTTGTTGTTTCCCTCCCTGAAGTATGCACTGTATTTTGTACATATTACGTAATCTTCAGAAAGTATCATCTCTGCCAAGAACTCCAAAACAAAGAAGCAAGCGGTTATCATGCATCTCATGAAGAATCAGTGAATGAAACACTTCTACAATGCCACACGTTTTGACCTCCTTCTAATGCAGGGCATCTTGAGGCTTCTGATTCAGAGGGTATTTGCCTGTTGGTACTGAAATAGGCCCTAAGCAGCCCTGAGCCCTTTCAGGTGTAGTCGCATCCGTTCTCCATCTGAGCATCTTTACCTCCGATGCTTTTGTCCTTAGATACAAAGGTTGACAAGCTTTTATAACAAACACTGGCAAAATCCTGAGCTTGCTTCAAATTATAAAATAATTTATTCTTGCAAAATAAAAAAAAACCCTGAGATTTAAAGCTATCATCACAAGACAAACTAATTTCACTATTTGCTATGGTTATTCAGCTGCAGTTAAAATACAAGTTTTCTACTTTAAACTGCCACTCTCTGTTTTCATAACTTAAAAGTCATTTCTTCTCTCCCTGCCCCCAAGTCTTTTAACGAGGAGAACTGATTTCCTTAATTACAAATGACTGAGATATTTTCCAATACAGGAACTCAATTACTTATTGTATAATGAACACTTTTAACTACTGGTATCCACTAGATATTTCATATAGATAGTGCACAGGGTCAATTATACTTGCTGTGCAAATTAAGCACTAACGCTGGTGAAACTAGAAACTTTTTCATCTTTGGCTTTCTAGGGGAATCTTTTTATGTGCTAGGAGATAGCTGTGCAGCTATTAAATCTGTACAGTGAACCAACCTTAAAGAGATAGTGGAACTCTGATGTTAATTCATAGCAACACATTTGAACATGAGAAATGGAAGTCTCACTCTGTCTTAAGACAGCAGCTTTGGGATACTACACCCTGCAACATTCAGATAAGCTGCATCAACATTGAAATCAACTAGTCCTCTTACTAGGATGCATCAGGTACACAGTAACTTCTTCTAGTCAAACCTCACACTTTTTGTTTAAAATAGTTTCAGAAAAATGAAAAATTAGGTCACTGCCTTTGGTAGAAAAGAATGCTTTGTGACTGACTGGTGACGATACTATTTAATTTCACTAGAGATGCCTTTTCACTACAATGAAACTATATCCTGAAATCTCACTACTAAATATCCTACATCACTGTCCTAACTCTTGAAAACAGCACACAAGTGCTTTAAATGCCACCATCTTTTTGAGCAGGCAGTGTGGYTGAGCAGGTTATGGTTTACATCAAGTGTGCCTTTATACCTAATAGCAGCAGTCACATCAGTAGCTAAAGTTTGGTGTTCAAAGAACTGATCTAATTCAAATGGAAAACTCAAATCCATCTGTTGTAGGACTTCATCTACCCTCTATGACTAGGAATTCAGCTCTCATCACAGACAACAGCATTACAGGTAATCACTCCAAGTTCACCACAGCAGTCCACAATAGTCTTGCRTATCTGTGGCCTCTTTCATTCTGGTGAGCTCATGTTCTTGGAGGGAGAGGCAGAAGTGGCAGAGAAAGAYCTGACCCAAGACATCCAATCTATCATGTTACATTAGTGAGAGTTTCTGATATCACAAGCATCATACAAAATCAGCATTATTTTTAAATACTAATGCTAAGGTAAGTTTTCACTAACACAGGAGCAAATTCAGACACAGTGAAAGAGCAAATATTTTCTTTAAACTTCTCCCTGTGGCAAATCAGCATTAAAAAGTGATTTCCCTTATACCTGTTGTTAAATTATAAATCTAAGTTATCCTAGTTGAGCAGCACTTTTTCAGGGTGGAATAAAAAAAAAAATCGGAGGCTATACTCAGTAAAGTTAAACTGACATTTTTGTATACTTAACACAATGTATATATTCTTCATGTGTAGCCCTACACAGTAAACTCAAATCAGGTGTAGGCAAGCTGGAATCTACTTGGTTTGCTCAGACAGTGAGCTAAACTCCAATTATACAGTCTTGGTTACTAGTCACACGTAGGGGATAGAAGGATCACAGCTTGACTTCTAGGCTCCTACACAGAGTTTGTTCTCTACTAGCAAATGAAATTTCTGTATTTAGGTACAGAATTAAATTTATATCAAGTAAGATAAAAACTCAGAACTAGCAGAAGCTCTGCCAAAGGGGTTTCAGTGCAGAGCTGAGTGCCTCACACATCTCTACCTGAGCTTATCAATTTTTGAGCAATTACTATTAAAATTCTTTTTTTTTTTTTTCCTTCGGGATTATTCAGCTAGAGGTATAAACTCAATGATGAAAACTAGTGCTATACTTCTCTACAATTACATTATTTTACTTCCAATCAGAAATGAACTCTGCGGTTCATCAGAATTTTGGGCCAATATGTTGACCCGTAAGCACTAGCCTCCACTGTTCAAAGTAGTCAGTGATATTGGAAACAGAACAGCAGAGAATAACCTATAGTTGCCCAAGTTTCAAAACCCCAACTCCTCATAAAGGACACTCCAAGTAGATCATCTGAAAGACATTTTAGTGAATCAGTGGTCACTAACAGCTTGTTCACTGTTAACAGTTGTCTTCCCCCCTCCTCCCAAAACAAACAAATAAACCAAAAAACCCACAAAACAAAACAAAAAACCCCACGTGGGAGGAAAGCAAAACAAACAAAGCCACTAAACACCTGAAGAATAAAGGTTGGCATGCTTCACTGTCAACAGCTTTCCTAAGCCATTTTCCCCAAGCGGGGGGGAACATCCCAGCATTCAAATATATGCTGTCCTGTTGAGAGTCAACTAGTCTTCGGCTTCTGCTTTTCACAGCTTTTATCTCCTTACCAGTTTACCATATAATCCTTCCAAGACTTTTAATACTTCACAAGAACATAATTATCTGTTAGCTACGAATCAGTGTTAAAAACATAGCCTAACCTCAGTAATCTCTAACTCAGGGCTTTGACGACATTGGTAGGATGGGTTATATGTGAAGCAGCAGTGAAGCATTAACTTTACCACTAGAAAAAAACCTTGTTTCCAACAGTCTAACCCAGTCTCCCTATACTTCAGACACCTACCACTGCAGACAGAACGGAAGGCATTTGCATACTACTGTCACTCAGCGCTCAGTCTCCTGTTTCAAGCCTCTTAAGATTCTCCTTTACATGCTCCCTTAATCAGCCTCATCCTCAAAAACAATTTACAGCAAGGCCAAATTTTAAAGAGCTTTTTTTCCCTTAAAGCATTGAATTTTTATTATGTAGGGCTTGATACYGATATATGACATAAAATGAAGAAGAGTAACAAGTAAACAAACCCTCCCACCAAAGGACTCAACAAACAATAAAGTGATTTTAGGTCTTTGCTCCGAGTATYTTATCTGAAATGCAAAAGAGCCAGGAGGACCAATGACCGCAGGGCTAAGGGACCCTGTCTTTACTGACAAACTCCTACAGCCTGGGCTGCCTGAGCAGCTAAGAACAGTACTACGGTCATTCTGGTTTTCTGTGCATTTACTGTGTGCGCATCTACAGCTTTACCTTCTCTCCATGTCAGTAATCTCTGAAGTGACCTAAGWCAACAATTTCATCTTTTCTGTTACTACACATATAACACCCATGTGCAAAGTCATCTAAAGCCACAGTGATTCTGTCACAAAGAAAACTAACATMAGGTTTGTGGCATCAAGCACATTATTGTGCTATATTTAAGCAGTTGTCTATAAAATGTAACAGTACTTTGCGCTCAAATTCAGGCCACTCAAACTCAGGAAATAGCGACAAAGCTGTCAAAAAGCAACTCAAATTGTGAACTCTAGAAACAAAAAGCACCTCTCCACTGTTCATGAACCAAAACACCCTCTGCTCTTTGCCACTTGAGCCTATTCATTCACCCAAWACCTTAATATTTTGATGCAACAGTAACAGGTCTCTAGTGATCTCTCGTGCAGTGTTTTCCTAGTTTAAATATTTTCTTGCTTTTTAATAATATCCAAAAATATATTATATACAAATTACTACTAGYTTGTGGATTTTTTAAGATACTCGAACAGAAGACAATTCATATTTACCAAAGCTTTAAGCATGAATAMAGCATCATCTTCTCCATCCTTCTCATTCCCACTTACCTCAGCACTGATTTGGAGTGATCACTTTAAACACCACAAGGGCTTCAAGAAGTACTATATGCTACCTGTTAAATAAAACCAATGTTGGAAGTGCATCTTAATTCAATTCAGCAATCACCACCATAGCTATTCAGTGGAATATTCAGTGGCATTATCAGAAAAACATAATAGCATGTTCTGCAGAAAGAACCAGAGATGAAGAGAATATTCCCAAGAAAGTAGACACATTTGTCATACCTTCCAGGATCCCAGACGTGTAAATAACAAATGAGAAACTTATATTTTAGGTACTTTTATTTAAAATGAAATCCACATACAAACCTTTGAAGATGTACAAAAATAAAAAGCCATTTTCTACACCTTAAAAAGTAGCTTAAATTAASTTCTACAAGCAATCCTTTCTGTCAGGAACCCGAATTAGCAGACAGTTTTCTGTTCTCTTCAGAGAATTCTACATTAAGTCCCCTCCCCCCAGTAACTACCCACACTTAAGGCTGTAGAAAGCATTTCAAAATATCTAATACTCTAAACCTCCCTGAATATATTACCAACCTCCCTCTCCCCCTGCTTAAGTTTCTAGAGGTAATAAGCACAGTAATATATCTCTCTGATTGCTTTAGGGCAAACTAAACTATAGGCTGAAAGACAGTTTGCAAYTCAAGTTGTTTTTTGACGTTTGTTCCTATAACTTGAGCAATACAGTTGGGCTCTTACAGTCTTACTTGCATTTTTACAACCTTGAAGGGCAATTCAACACTACACAGAAAGCTAAGGGAGAATGTTATGATAATACATCATTTTGATAACATTCTTTCTTTCTCTCTCCTTCAGGTCCCCCAAATTTAAACTTTTTCAACTAAAATATATCTGGCAATAGGCATAAACATAAGTAGAAGAACGACTCAAAGAGTAAGAATTTATTTATCATCTGTTTTGACAGATGATTTGGAGATCATCTGCCAAGATGACAGGAGTTTAAATGATCACACTGAACTAATGAATTTTGCGTAATGAACATTTTTTAAAATGCTCAGTAATATTGGTTAGGCTATTTGAAACAATATAACACATCTCCGGTTTTTGTCATTCTATTTCCTTTAATTTTGGGCCAAGGCATTATGTTCTCTTTTCATGTTCTCCCAAAAGCTTTTCTGGAGTTGCAGTAACATACGGATAAATGAGGCAACARTTGTGGAAAGAGGCAGCAACTTAAATTGGCATTATTGAAATATATAAATTTGGGGTACGTAAATTCTTCTTAGATCTCTAACACAGCAGCAGGCTTTGACGTTGAGAGTTGCTCAGTGTCTACATCTACATGCATATCCATCCAGAGAAGAACAAGCTGAAAGAGGTGGTTGACAGAAAGCTCCCCAGAAACAGTATTTCTTCTCAGTYCTTTTCCTTGCCAGCTTGGTAGTGAACTTCAACATGTCCATACAGTATTAAGCTGCTTGGTAAGAGAACAGTCAATGTCCTTTGTACAGTTTCCTGAACACGGGGACCTAAACCATGAGCTTCTAACCACTATCTGTACAAACCAGAAATACTTACCTAACCCTATTGTAGTTCTCCTATTGTGGGATCTACACTTATACACCAGAAATAACCTCATTAACTTCACAATGTTAGAGATGAATACAGGTTTTAAAATAGCACTGTGTCTGCAGCACATGCAACCATACTATTTTTCAATTCTACTGCTTCTATAACCAAGATTCCTCCCCCTCCCCTAAAAAAAATAAAAAAGCAAATCTGTAGATAAAACATTCCAATATTGCACAAGTCATGCTTAAAATCAAAGTTAGTTTAGTATGAAAAACAGCCATTCCTTTCCATATTTAATTTCAAGATCATCTGATTGAAACTCCCTTTTCCAATACTTACGCTTAAGTTTTTTTCTGTCTTAAATTACACTGATTGTCACATGGGCTCATTTCTGCATCAACACATGATATACACCTTTTTTTTCCCCACTCCCAATCTAACATTATAGGTTAGGGCTGAGAACTACTAGCACTGCAAGCCTACAAGTCTTCCTTCCCTTGCTAAGATACAAGAACATATGCCAGGCAGGATTTTACCAGCAAACCGAGARGAAACCAAATAACATGAAGAGTATTTATTATCAAGCAACAGCGAAGTCCACAATGATTTAAACACAGCAATCCTTGGAAAAATGGCTAAGAGCAATTTGTAGATAAGGTGCAGTTATATGAGAGACTTTTAGGAAGAGCTTTGTCAGCCTAATAACCCGCTTGCTGAAACTAAATCTTAACTACGACCAGTAAGCACATCAGTTGGTAGCCAAGATCAAAATGAAAGGAAAAAAGAAAGTTCTGTGCAAGGAAATTGCCTCGGGTTTTTACAAGGTGGGAAGACACACACGTATGTTATGAAACACAACGGTAGCAGAGAGGTAGTCTAGTTGTTCGTTTGACTGGGAGAGGTAGAAGCAGCAGAGACAACAATAGCTGTGGCCAGTCAAAATTACCATTATCCCATGTTCTCCAAAAAGATGCAACAAAAACTGATTCACCGCCTGTGACTGCTTATTTAACCCAGGATTCAGTTCACTTGCTCTTATTTACTCATTTTTACATCAGTAATTTCCATTCAAAATATCCGTTCAGGGAGCAAGAAGGGGAAAGAGAATAGTCATAGAAATAACAAGGATAAAAATAGTCAAACTACATTCTGGGATGTGTCAGCCAATTCATCTGCAATTCATACACTTTAAGATAAAGGGTAAGAAAACCAGATGGGGTTCCCTTTCTGGCAGACTGATATTGTATGAACACAACTGAAACAAATACCTACTAAATGCTAGAAGCCAGTTAAGTCATAAATTTCATAGACTTTATCTACACAAAATTCTCCATGCCAGTTCTTCCCACAGGAAAAACAGACGAATTCTTTTAGAGATAAAAGCCACTAAAACACATTGGACATACAGTCAACAAGTGTTAAAAACTGTGCATCTTAGAGCTAGTATCTGTAGACAATCATACATAATGCTCCCTGGGATTGATGTAGACACTTCCAGACCCTGAGTTCTGAACATGTCTACTACTCCAATTTTTGTAGTATGGTTGCTCATAAACAGGGTAYGGTTGCTGAAGACTCTCTTGTTCCTGGAGTTCTTCAGGCTCGTAGTTAAGTTGTCTTCCATTCACAGCTTTCTAAACACACACATACAAAGATTAGTCAGGTTCACAGTCCTACTATTCCTTACAGCTGTAAGAAAAATAAGAGGTGCACTAACTTCAAAACWGTCCTTTGAATGAAGAAACACGACCTTTAAAATTGTGATAGCTAAGAAAGAAACTTAAACAAAACTGCTAGCAACTACCCGAAATAAAAACATTGAGGCTAAATCTATAAGGAAGATAAGATTTTAAAGCTCACAGAATCTAAAAAGCAAAGCAAACTATAAAAAAATCCATCAGCTCTCCTGTGCCTTGTTGTTATATTTAGTAATAGATTTAGAGTTTGAGTGTTTCTGCATTGAAGATAGCCAGCAAAACTACATAGGAAACACTMAGATACTAAAGTAATATTGACTTGTTTCATTTCATGGATAGTAAACTTTCACATTCAACAGTCACTTGTCTATGATAGACATATTCTCTGCTCTTCATGGAAAATATCCCTGCAAACTTATTTCAAGAAACAAGATAAAAAGCAAAGCTCTTSCCAGGAATTTAATCTATTTTATTATTTACCATGTACTGCAAATTTCCAGTATCTCTCTCTCTGTATTGGCTTTGCGAAACAAAATTTTCTCTCTGAAAGAAGAGTTACAGTAGAAGCAAGTCAGAATTTGGCAGTACCCAACAGATTCAATTTAAACAAAAACAGCAGTCATCACAAAATACATTATGCCTAGGAAGTGTCCTAACTGATCACCTTTCTGAATGCCTTTTACAAGCTGATCTCTGCTTTCTAGAAAAAGATAGGAGTTAATGTTAATCTAACAAGTATTATTTTCAGAAATGTATTTTTAAATTTTAACATACAATTTATTTCAAACAAGTCAATATAGGTTAAAAATCAAGTCAAGCCTCCAAATCAGRTCTATATTATGAAGCTGTCACAATCAATCAAGTAGATAAAAGCTCAGTCTGACATTAGACAAATATTTAACTGAAAGGGAATTTAACTGTATAATACTGGGATGGAAAGCATTACATGTTTGCTGCTCAATTTGATGAAAGCTAAACAAAGTGCTTCCAAATGAATAAATGAAAAGCCTTAATGAGACTATTCAAAACATTCAACTAAAATTAAGATAAATTACCCTGCAATAGTACAATAAAAAGAAGGTGCTTTTCAGTGCACTTGCACAGATTATTTTTCCTTGTTAATAACAGCAAAGACATATTTACAACTTATCTACTCAACTTCATTTTGTTTTCCTACCAAAAGTCCATAGAAGGTGCTTTTCAGTACACTTGCACACATTTTTTTTCCTTGTTAATAACAACAGCAAAGACATATTTACAACTTATCTACTTAACTTCATTTTGTTTTCCTACCAACAGTCCATATTCCCTAGACGTTTTGCTATGAACTTCTGTGGAGCACAGAAGTAGTTGCTAGTTGCTCAAAGCACAGAGCTCGAACATCTCAGAGCACCTCAGCGCTCCCGCAAGGCTTGGCGGACAGATGCACATCAGGAGCTAACGAGGATTCGGTTCACAACGCAGCAACGCGGGCCAAGAGCTCACCACAGGCAAACCCATCCAACTCACACACCTCAAACAGCCTCATGAAACCTGCAGGTTTACTTTTATTGCCRCGCACTGCTCGCTATGAAAGAAATGGCTTTATGTAGAGGTAACTTGTCTCAGACAGGAATCCTCAGACGGGATTCCTTCACTTGATTCATTAAGGCCACAAGTCCTTGGGACACTAGTTTTGTAGGAACAGGGTGGTAAGGGAAGAAACCCACAAGGGAAACACAGAGCATATGGCTGGGTCATGTTATTTCATTTCCTATTTATAAAAGYGTGCTTAGAAATTTATTTTATCCTTCTATCTTCTCTTCTATCTATTTATATAAGTTTTTAAAGTCCCTTTATTTTGGCCATGATTGCCAGTTATTGGCTCTCAAAGAGTGGTCACACCTGCAATCAATATAGTTTTACAGATTGATTAGCTAACACTCAAGTATCCAAACTCATTAGCTCCACATGACTAGTATAATTAAAAAACAAATAAAACAAACCATCAATGATCAACTGCAGAAAGAGCTTGAAAAGTACTGTCCTATCTCAGAGATCTTTATCAATTACCTGTTCAGTCAGCTCTCAGAAACTGGGTAAAGCAGAGCTTTGTTGGCAGGTGGCAGATATTGTTTTAATCAATACTGTGAGACTCAAATATTGTTCCTGTTATATAAGAGGATGGCACCAGCCTTCTCCAGGGAAAGTTTAATGCAACACACTATGAACAGGTGAGAGAAAGACAGCAGAGAAACAGCTTGAGATCATTTASGATGATCCCAAAACTCACTGGACATTTACATTTGAAAGGGGAGCTATGTGAATGACCTCAGGAAATTGAGGTACGCAACGGGGGCAGCTCATGGGCAAATTATATACAGCAGAGGCCTTTTAAGACAAATACAGCATTGTAAACATTGACTAGGTTTCAAAGCACCAACTGTACAATTTCTTGACATTAGCTACAACTGAGTTTCAATGACTAACATCGAGTTAGCATGAAATATAATGGTCCTAACTCTAACACTGTCCCCGAAGAACTCCTGAAACATAGGCATGCCTTAAATTTCACAGCCAAAGTGAACAGAAGTATTATTCATCCCATTAAAGCTCTGTAATTCAAATCTGAACCAATTCCAATGCCATCAGTCTTTATGTATGTAATGTCTTGCTTTACTATATTCCAAATTCATGAATTACAAGTGTCACAAGTGTTGCTTTTCTCTTCCTCCCAGCTGCTTCCCTCCATTTCTTAGAAAGAGAAGATTAAGAGAGACACTTGGTCTAGCAATAGAAACTAGAAAATTGGAAKCTGACAGGCCCAATCAACAGTTTAAGTTACTGCAGAGGCAAACAAATGTGYATGTGTTAAACTAATATTGTAGTATTCTATTACTTGATGTAGTTACAAAAACATCAAGAGCCAGTAGAACTATCACATACAATTCAGGAACAATAATGTGATTTTTTGTTTACTTCATGTTTAATAGGATATTTCTTATCCAATCCAGCTTTTTCCTCCTTCCTCTTTTCTTTTTCCACATTTGTTATTAAAGCTCAAGTTTTAAAACAATACAGAGTTTAGTTCTTTGCCTGACCTRCATACTTACTGTGAAACACAAATTGAAAAATCTAATGATTTCCATGATCCTCCTTTGCCCACTCCTCCAGCAGCTCTTTTCATTGTCTTCACAAACCTATTTTTTTCTACTCTTATTCATCAAACTTGTTGCCTTGTAAGTCATTAAAATATGGTATTTTTCTAAACTCACACTGCTTTTGCTTCTCAACTGCTAGAACAGAACCTGCAAACTGATTTCAAGAACACCCTGTAGCACTTACCACGATGAGACGTACTGCTGAAGAGGAATTCATCTCACAAGCAGGTGAGGTGCAAAAACCCACCACATCATCACTAAAGGCAAATGTTCTCTGGACAGGCAAGGAAGGGGGCCRGAAATCTGCCTGCTCCGAAATTTCTACAACCAGTGCCAACTCTTGGTACCAGCACTACGACATAGGCAGGCACTGGAAACAAGAGCAGGAAATCCTGGTGGGTCCATTTCTTTTACCAAGGTGGGAAATGAGGGAAATCTTCCTCACTAAGGAAGTTCCTCGCTAAAACACAAGACCCTTTTTAGAGAAAGGAGTTGCAGATTTTACTGCCAAGGAACATGTGACAGARCTCAAATCTGTTAGGCTTTGCCAAAGAACACAAGCACTGGCCTCCCAACAGATTCAGATGCAGAAGGACACAACATATCTGTGTTTTGGGGCTTTGATGCTTACAATAGCTTGGTATTTTATGTTATTCTATAAAAGGAATTWCATGAAGTCTTGTGTCCACACTCCTTATCAAACAATCCTTTAAAACTCTAAATCAGTATCTCACTAATACTTCATCTTGCACTTTCTTACCCCTTCCAATACAGAAACCCAACTATAACAATATTAAGTCTGTTCATAACATCTATCACTTCTCATTGACCAGCATCCATTCCACAGTATGACATTGTAAACATACAGCCAAAATCCATTAACAAAATCACTTTTGTGCCTCATTCTGGTCCCCATCAGGTTAATGATTTCTTCCATTGTAAGGTCCTTCATTAATATAGATGAGTTTGTCCCCATGCATTTTGTGCTTCCCTCTATGCAATCTTGTTTGCCTGAACAGCTCCTCAGTCTAAAGCAAATTATAATAATAATGCTTTCTCTTTCATTTCAGAAGAGACAGTCTCACCTGTATTAAAACCATTAGGYAAACTACCAGCAGAGTCCAAGAGAGCCATAATCTATAATGAATCCCTATTATACCRCATTTAAAAGTACTGCTGGCCATCTTTTCAAATCTGATCTAGAAATACCACCATTCAAAATGTGTTTTTTTTTTTTTTTTAGCTTTATACTTTTAACTAGCTATTGTAACTTCACCGTCTTGTCTRTTTTGAGCAGGAATGMAAACACCATTGAGAGCTGCAGCATTTGAGGCTAGCTTTGCTAAGTACATAACGCAGTCTTACAAGATGCAAGTCTAAAGCTGCTCATTCCAAGGCTAGAATTACTGAACCGTTGTTCTCCTCTCCTTTTTTTTTCCCATTGCTAAAAAAAAAAAAAAAAAAAAAGATTCCTCAATGTTTTGTGAACTCTGAATGTGCAGTGCATTATTAAAAAAACAAAATAATCCCACACCACAAAAACACACATTCCCCACTTTGCCTCCTGCTCCCCTTCCTTTCGTAGCACATTCCTTCACAATACGAAATAGTACTCAGTCATATTTTCCAGCAAGCACAGAAGTCACCACTTTGAATAAAATGAATCTAACTGTAAATAATTCAAGGGATTGCCTGAATTAGTGCCTTCTTCCCTACTCTGTTCACTATTATAGAACAGGATTAATTCTTTCTCAGGTTACTGAAATTTTTCTATTGCTCAGCTTCCTGTTGATTTCCCTCAAAACCGAATTTCCATGTTGACATCACTCTGTCCACCAAGAACACAGCTTTCAGGCTGCTCAGAAGAGACATTGCTCTTTAGTTAAAGAGCAATGCAAATACTTTTGCTAATACTTTTTTTATGCAAAAAAGTAGCTTTCAATAACAAGACAGTAGTTACACAACCAGTGGTGGTGGTGAAGTAAGTTCTGTAGTTAAAGAAAAAAAGAGGCAAAAATAAACTTAGTCTTTCCTGCAAGCAAAACTGAAAATGGCAGAACTAGCAGAACTATTTACACTGATACTTTTGCTGCTTCATATTCCTTTGTTTTGGACTTTGCCACCACTATTTTAGGTCCTAAGTGAACTGGTTCCTTGTAGTTCTAAAGTAACCAGAAAAAAACAAATTGGTTTCCACAAATATCAACAGAGAGATATTATGGTGATGAATACTCCTTACTTCATATACATGAGGCTTATTATTTAACATTAGCACATAAGTGCAGAGAACATGAAAAGCACTTGCTACCCGGTATTACTAGATGCATACAATTTCCCTCATTTATTTTAGCAGATCCATCATCCTCTAGCTCCATTTCCTTTCAGATTTACAAGGTTCCACAGAAGGGAATCAGTCAGAAGCTATATAGTCTTCACAGACTCGTTTATTATAAAGAAATGTAATAAACAACGCTGTTAACTCAAACTGCCTTCTGTAATAGGTACTTCAGTGTTGTCTAGTACAAAGAATCATTTTGAATTAACTCAGTCAGATAACTCATCTGTACTTTCACAAGCGGCCCAATGCAGTGCAAACCCACATTCCAGATAAGAAAAATCAGTTCTCCTGTCCCTTGYTCTCCACTTACTTTCCCTTTTTCATTTTCCAGAATGAGTTTCCCAGCGTATCAGCACTCTGATTAAGTTAGGTCAGATGGCAACCACACAAATGTTGAATGTTAGCGCGGAATTTCAGCTCACAGCATATAGCACAAGCCAATTTCCTGTTTAGACTGCATTACGTCGGTCATATCTAGCTATTCCTTGAATTSCAATAAAAGTTCAAGCACTTGTCACAGACTTGGTACACAGCTCATGAATTTCAACTTGAGAAAAGAGGTAAAAGTGGCAAGTCACATAAATGCAGGCGTTTAAGAGCGACTTAGTCATCTTCACTGAAAGTCAAAATAGTCCCATGAGTTATTCATATATAAACTAAAAAGCAAAAAAACAAATTCAGATATATTCCCACCACTCAGACCTCAATAACTTAAAAAAATTGGCAGTTTTTATTCTCGGTCACAGAACCTCATTAGCAAGGAAGATCATGCTGCTGAAGTCTACGATGAAGTTTCTCAAATATACTTGATCCAAATACTAAAAGCCTTTCATAGAATCATTAAATCCTAGGGTGATTAGAGAATAGATCCCTGTAGCTTCTTTGCTTCAAGATCAGCAGGGTTTGTTACATGCTATTAGAGATCCAAAAACAATTTAGTTGCCAGTTCCYCATCTTTCACATTAACACATTAACAACACGTTAAGACATAAGATTTAGATACCACGAAGCTGGTTGTGAATTAACAATATAGCAATTGTACACCACCAAAAAAAAAAAAAAAAAACCCTAATGTTAAAAAATAGGAATAAGAGTATTTAACACTTCATTCAAGTTTAAGATTAATCCTCACTCACCTGGCGCATAACTTCTTTCTGTGGTACAGAGAACACTCTCTCCTCACATGAAGAGGATGGTTTRTGAGTGGGTGGAAGATCAATCCTGTATCAAAAAGGAATGTGAAGTCAATTAGATAAATAGTTCATTTTCATTAACCTTTTTTTTTTTTTTTAAAAAAAAGACTCTGAAGCAGTTAAAGCTCACAATCAAGACCAAACGTTTTTCAGGCGGCAATAGTACATGAAATAAATACTATAACATTAACAACAAAATCTAATTTACGTTAGGCCTCAGGTTACAGAATACCAGCAGCCTTTATTACTTGTGGCAACAATTAAGAGTGACCTATCCCCCACTCTCCAGTTGAAACTGCAAGTGTCTTTTTCCAAAACCTTCTTTGAAAGAATTAAGCTATATATGCCTGAAGTCATGCTTAGCTTCCTCATTTCTTTTCAGAAATATGTGATTTTACATTTGTCTGCCCTGAAAATGCTGCCCTGAAATCGTGGCAGTTGAAGTTTCTACACAACCTCAATCACTTAATCACTTTTGTGGTAAATAAGTACACACTTTTTTTGCATACTCTTTCCAGCTAAGAAATCCAACATATACTTACACTTTGTCAAGATACGATGGCCTTTTCTTCCTTGGAGTCAGCAGCACTGTCACAAAGATGGTAATGATAAAAAGAGCAAGGACTGCTCCAATCACAGCCCCTGCTACAGCAACAGAGGATATCTGCTTATATGGCACATCTGTAACATGACAGCATAGATTACACCATTTTTAAAAAGACTGCATATTTTCAGTACCTATAGAAGCTATTTCAGTGTTTCTCTGAGACACGTTTCTTCCTTGTATCACTAAGTAGGAGCCCCCTTTCTGCGCTATCGCTTTTGTGGCCTTGGTTTCAGCTGTCCAAATCAAAGTTTAACTAAAAGAAAAGGTTTAGGAATAATTAATAACATTTAAAGAATTGCCTTGACTACTACCTTAATTAAAAAAAAAAACAGCTGCATGCTTTTATTTTCAATTTCAAAGCAAGACACAGTAGCAGAATACATGCTTTGTACTTGTATGAGCAAGCTAGTTGTTAACTCAAAAAAGACAGACAACTAAGCTCTATTTGCAGTCTTTAAAGCCACCAAAGCCTGTCAGAAAGGGAAAACTGAAACTCAAAATTAAAGAAAATGTTATACTGCTACAAGCAACACACATGCAAACCCACTAATGCTTGGTTTAAACTTACCAAAGTAGCCCCTAAGACCATCTGTCATCTCTAGGACTTAAAGTTGTTATTAGAAACAGTCATCTTTATAAACACTTTTATAACTGCAGCCCTCCCTCTAGCAATTTACTTCCACTTTAGGGAAGAAGAAGAGATTATTATTATTTTTGCTTAGCTCATTATTGTTGATCCTTATGTTTAACAACTCCTATACCAAATTAAAACCTTTGTCAGCCTTTAAAGGTCACCCATCTGCTAAGCTAGGAATGAATCGTTTTAAATCTTTCAGAAGACTGAGTTACYAACTTGCTAGCAAGCTCTGATTCAGTATCATCGTGTTATATACATTTTAGAGAGCTATCCATATATCACCAGGCTTGTCAAAAAGTCACACCACTGCACCAATTCATACTAGCTATGATAAAACTGTTACCTGCAAAATACAGGTAAATATGCAAAAATATGGAACTGCTTCAATCAGGAAAGTAATAGTAAAAGGACCTTAAATTAACACAGTTCTATATGGGGTAATGTATTTTTAACGCAGTGTAGTTTTGTCTTTTTCCTTCAGGAAAAGCTATATATGGGTTTCTCCAAAAACCACATAAGTTTCGTCCATTCAAGCTCTTACCAGAAGAAATTTTCGGAGCTTTTTCAGCTATACCCCCTATTACTGTAACAAAAACCAGAACTAATATCAATCACAAGTGTGTTTTTTCTTTTCTTCCTAATTTCTTCTATTAATACTAAAGTATAAAGCCATAGGTTAACAAAACAAGCAAACAGGCAGGAATCTGAGTTACTGTACAACACTGATGTAACCTATTATCTTAAGCAATCAACGTTCTCTTTTAGGATATATATTTGATGGAAGCAGCTTTCCTGACACAATCTTCATTTACTGTCATAACACTACCCACCACACTTCCTTTTTATCTTTAACTTTGGGCACATGAATTGGCTTTAGTTTACACTGGATATCTGGTTAAAGCCAGTTTGCTGCTGGAAATAGAGAGCGTTAGGCCCAGAATTCATGAAGACACCGGTCTTGYGACTGCAGCTTCCCTAGAAAAGTTGCTTGCCTGTAGGTTTTATAGCATACTGTGTTTTCATAGACCTTTAGTGTGTTTTTTTCTGGTAAGCTTTGCAATAAACGCTAAAACATCTTCAAGTGTAAGTTCAATAAAAGCCTGGCCATTGACCGCGGTTTGGAGTGATAGGGTAATGGCCACCGGCTTCCCTCAACATGAGGAAACACAGGTGCTCTTGCATCAAGAGCAGCAACATACAGGAACTGACACCTTCAGTTATCAGTGCTGACTTCCTTCGCTTTTAAATTGCCTGGGAAAAAAAAAAAGAAAAAAAGTACAAAAAATAAAACCAGTCTAACACCAGAGAAGTGATCAGAAACTCAAGGCCATCTTGCCAAGCTGACCAAGAGAGAAAACACCAGAGATACATGGTACCAACTACACCACAATGTGTGGTCATTTGGAATTGTTTTATTCCAACAAATGTGGTTAAATTGAAGTCATCAGATTTTTTTTTTTTTTTAAAAAAGGTTTTTCCCAAGAATGTGAATCCTAAATATTAGCTGTGCTTAAGGTACAATTGTTTAGACAGCACCTATCCCTACATAGCGTTCTCAGTTGTTTACACTTTTAAAAACTATTCCTAAAGCCAACTGTTTTGTAAGCTTAGGGTCTTTAAGGAAATACTTAAAAAAAAAACCCTGCCCTGTTATCCAACTTTACACACCTGCTCCCCTTGACTTTTGCAAACAGTTTTGAACACTACCTATGCTGAAGAACATAACAAAAGTTTATTCACACAACAGCCATTTGTACTTACAATCAATTCTTTTTTTTACAGCAGATATAATGTACAAAACATTGCAATACTTTAAGACCTATCCCTATTACCAACTGTAACTCCAAAACATTTCAACTTCTCAATCATTAAATATTTTAACAAAAGAAAAAAACCCTCAAAATCCACAGAGACACAAGTATGATATCCCATGTGGAGAACAGGTTTATGGTTATGTTTATTTTGAAGTAAGACCATCTTTTAAAGATGATATATCAAGGTTTTTTTTTGTTTAAGAGGTATGATCCCTTTACTTTGGAAATAATTTGCACCAGAACTTTCTACTAGAAACTCAACTCCTTTCTTTGAATTTGCACTCAAACTACGAATACACAGAATAGTATTTGCTATTGTACTTGAGACTTCTGTCCATTATGCACCAAAGCTCAGTTAATAAGAATGTGAACTTTAGCTGCTTGAGGAACCACCCCACGCGACTTGCAAAAGCAGCAGTTGTCTTGCTCTTTTAAGACACGCAGCCATGTGTGATCACAGTGTATTGTCTACAACACTCAATGCAGCTATCTGTGTCAAGCTCCAARTGCTGTAAGCTTCTAAATACTATGAGAACAGAAAAAAAACTTCCAGCATGAATGTCCATGAAGTAGCCRTAATCGAGTCCATTACAAGAAATGGAACAGGCAGTTTTTCCTTTTCAGATTTCTAAAACTAATAGCTTGATAATCTTCATTTTTCCAGCTAGATGTTTAAAAATGGCACTTCCAAAAAGTCATCCTTCTGATTTTGAATTCATCCTTGTTCTGCAAGTCATCTAGAGTTACTTCATTTCAACTTGCCTCCCCCTAATCAGCAGTTTTAGTTTGGAGAACCTGCCCAGGACACAGTAGAACTACATCAGGTCACAGAGTAGATGTCCTACAGATGATGTCCTTTTAAAGAACAAGCACTTACTGTTAAAGCAGTAGCAAGTTATGGAGAAGAATTCCCCTGTGGCACAGACTGCAGAGCATACCTAACCTTCTGCTCCATAGMTTTGGTATTTGTGGTGCATTTGTTGTATAGTTGTAGTACATTTTTACTGCATGAAGTGGCAATGCACTGTCTGCCTTCCTCTTACTAACCTGAAGTTTCAGGCACCCTTTCTAAAGGGTAATTTTTACCTTTCATCSCCCATGTAACTTCTAAAACTCGTCATCCAGATGTAGTGTAAAACTGCCCTTTTAACTACAGGTCAGAAAGTCTCTAGCAAACTTAACACCTCTTCACAGGCTTGGTGTGTTATTGGTATCCTGGAAAATATGCAAGCTTGCTGGCGTCTCCAACTTACAGATCCCCTGGCATTTTTTTCCTACATGTGTTCAATTTGCCAGCTTCCAGATTCAAAGGTAGGATTTCCACAAAGCCTTACAAATTGGCTTTAAGACTATTATGTGTACTTGCAAAAAAAGAGTCTTGTATTCAGTAATGAGTTTGGACACCCTGTTAAATACAGGCCTAGCAAAATACCTCACTTATATGTATATATACACACACGCTAGCAGAAGCTTTTAAAAATCAACGACTATAAAAATATTTTTAATATGCCTCAAAAGACAAGCCTTTGACATGGTTACGCAGTTACTTATCAAAGACTTGTTTATAGATAACTTATTTTCAGTGCAATGACTTAAGTACACAGTTACATAAAGGCTCATTAAAATGCTAAGAGGTATTCATTTTTGTGCAGAAAACCTAGAAATAAAGCTTTGATTCTGCTCCAACTCATTTTAATTGGCAAAGTGGTTGCTATATAGAAGCATTAGATTTGTCATGGATGGTGTGTAGATTTAAGGAATACACTTAAGAGTTCTGCATTAACTCACTGTACTGCATTACTAGAGCTCTGCAAATTAAATGCCCCAAAAGATTACTTGATCACTGTCTTAGGTAAACTTCTTKTTCAATCAGAAAGCCAAGAAAGCCACCTTTTATTCTGAATCAAGTCTGGATGGTAACTTTAATTTACCTTTGTTACCTCTGACATAGATCAATATAAGCACTCTGCATTAAAATTCAAATCTTGAACAGTAGTACAGCATTGGGAGAAAAAAAATAATAAAAAAGTTCAAAGCAGCTCAAATACATTTTCCCAGATTCCACATTTCAATTTGTCAAGTCACAATATAAAAAGCTTGGGAAAAAAAAACAAAAAAAAGAAAACTTCAAAAAGTTTATTCCTCCTTATGTGTAAGTATAAACAATCAGAAAGTGACCAGCCAATGAAGTGAATTGCAGGTACAAGTTTAGGTTTCAGTGGTGACTACACATACCACTCCCTCCGGGATATTACCGAGCCATCTATGTGAGAAACAAAGTCTTCTTCATTGTCATCGTAACATTCACCACCCATATATTTCATCCCCAGTGTTCCACCTTCATAATAATCCATTGGTCTTTCATAGCGTTCCTGGTACCTGTTAATATTGTCTATATTGTTCCACTCTGGCTTTTCAGGGTCTTGTAAATAATCTTTAGAGATTAGGCTGTTCATTGGATGTTTTATTTCTTTTTTTAGACTGTCAGGGTAAGAATCCACATCATCTGACTGGAGAACATCTATTTGAGATTCTTTTTGCATATCTGAAGGTGGAAGGTAGTTCTTAGCAAAGTAGTCACCACGGAACGTCCGTCTTCTCCTATAGCAGATAATTCCAACCA